AGATAACTATATCAATGTTAATTATGCCAATTCACAAACTACTACCTTCACCAATGGATAAGACAAAACATTCCTTTTTATAATATCCAAGTGCTAATTTGTACTGTAGCTTTGCCTTGAAGCTTTTGAATTTCTCCAAATCGATAGATTTAACATATAGACACATGAAAGCCAGAGTGAAATGTTATGCGAGATGCACATACAATTTACTTTTGAAGATGAAGGAATTGTCTTTTTCCGTATCAATCAAATTGAATCGAATGTAGGTTCTGTCGAATTGAATCGGATCGAGATTTTCTTATTCGTTTCGGTCTCTCATATCCACACCCGTATACAACCTTATAGTAGTAAAGGAATACTAAACATGAGCGAAGGGTAGGAAGTATATATAGATTTTTTTAGTTGTTTTCGTCTAACGTTTAATTTGGTAGGCTTGGATGTTATTTTATAGGGCGAAACATGGGATATATATTAAGAACTCTTTCATATTTTGACAAGTTTGGTTACAATCGATTATTTCAAGTAGCTAGTGTAGAGTTCTATGTAAGTTACTCTTTATTACTGATCATTTATGTAATTGAATTCAATTTATTTTTCCACAAGAAAGAAATCCGTTATGTCATATTATGGTAGAAAATGATACAGGTGAAGCATTTGAATTTAAGTAAATTGCTATTAAATTATAAAGCAAAAGATGATCGAAAATTCTAGAATTTTGAAAATTCCTGTTACTTTAATATTCAACAGTTTTCGACATGGTTTCACTCATTACGTTGTTGGTAGTTTCTTTGATACCGAAAAGAGATAGTCAATAAAAATAATATACGACTATATGTGAAAGGCGATTTCTCTACATAGTATGTAAATTTATAGATGCATTCATTCTTCAAAGGCATTCATCTATTGTAAAATGTAGAAACTCGTATTATCTTTTAGATTCAATTAGACAATGAAGCATATCAAATTGAGATTCTATTTACGTTTCCATTCTTTTCTGTATTTGACTTGTTCAACATTTTTCAAAATAAGTAAATTTTACGTTAGATTGCATTATTCTTTCTGTGACTGACATTTTATAAATTATTTCCGATTTTTGATCTCAAATATTCGACCTAGCATTGTTTTCGAATGAGATAAAATACGTTATGATTATTCTCTCTTCAAACAATATAGTCTATATTTAAGATTCTTTCTTATGGTTGATATATTGTCCTTATAATGAAAAATCGACTTCCACTATACATTGAATCATCGGACAGAATACGACTGAAAGATCAAATGAAATATATACAATACAAGAATAGGTTATGGTTTCTATGTCATCCTATAAAAAAAGTTATTAACGTCTGTCATCTGATGAAAGAATCAACAGCTTCCAAGATTTATTTTTTTGGGGAATAATTGGAATCTTTCTATGATTTCCTTTATATATATTATCGTCAAACAATAGGAACTAGGCTGAAAGCAGGTATCTAGTTGAGAATGAGGGCAAGAACGATAATTATGGCTTTTGTTCAGTTAAGGATGAGAACCGACTCTTCAGAACTATGCTCTCTTTTGATACAGGTAAAATATATTATATGGGATCAATAGATCAGTTCAAATAAATCCTGATAGTTCCTCATTGCTTATAGGTATAAATAAAAAACTTTGGCGACTATGAACAATACGATTATAAAAATATTGCAATGTCCATTTAACCCTTTAGGGACGGTTGGCCCCCTAAGGGGCCATGGTAATTCTCTAGCATTTCAAAACACACAGATTCCTATATGAGATTAGTTTTCGTGAAAGCATTTATCAGAGAGTTTTTTGGTATAATTTGGATTGTAATTTGGTTATTTTATTCAGATATCCAGTAATGGATAATAAGTTCTTTTAGAATATAGAAGTGTTGATTGATTTATGATGAAATATACAGAAAAAAAAAACCCGTCCCCAAAGGGTTAATGATTAACTGCTATAACTGTTCACTATTTTTCAAGAGACTTATTGATTGTTTGTCACATAATCTTATACAAAAATGTTTGAAATAAATGATTGCTATAGTTGAAACTTGACGTTTTCTCATATAGTCATTGAACAAATGTAAATATGATCTGAAGACTTTGATGTATTGTTACATTATGAAGAAAATAGCTCGAAACAATGATTTTATTTTTCGAACATAGTTTTAATTAAGCTAGCTATATAAATTATGACAATAAGATGTTCATTATCAAATGCAAATTTCAATCTGTTTTATCAACAAAATTATTTTGTCTTAAATCTTATTTATTTCAAAAAATCAAAATGAAAATCTATTTAAACAATCATATAATTTTATTTTTTGCGTCATTTTACAATATAATTGTGTAAAAATCTTGACTGATTCTTAATTCATTTAAGTATTTAGCGATTAGAAAAAAAACGAAAGAAAAACATGAATAGTTTTTAACAAAACAAGACAAATAAAAAAACACCGGAAGTTTAGTTCCTTGTGTATTCATAGTACAGACTAGATTCAATTCTTTTCATTGTATTTATTAAGGAGTTGCTTTTCTATATTTTCATTTACATCTATTTAAACAAATGCGATACTCCTACAATTGTAAGGATTTTTCTATTCTATACTATTGTTTTTCTTTTCATTAACTAAATACACTTATGTAAACCACATACTCAATGTCAATATGTTGTAACAGTGCACCTTTTCTAAAAACAAGTTAGTATGTCATAATAACTTTTGTTTTTGAGAGTAAATATGTGAATTTAATATAGAAAAATCATATAAGAAGAATTTGCATAGAAAATAATACTTCCTTGTTTCTTGTTTTATTCAAGGTTTTGTCAAGAGAATAGCTGTGACTTAAAACAGTTTAATGAAATAATAGTTTATTTTCTTTTTATGATAATTTCGACAGAGACAGAGAAAACTGATAGGTTCCATTTTCATAAAGTAATAGTCATTATTTTTTCCTTTTCATTTGTTTTTGAGAAGAAAATAAAAATCATTATGTGTCTCTGGAATTTCATCTTTCTTGATAAGAATAAGAAAATGTTTAATATTAACGGGTGGCGCAGAAATTCCTGACTTCTGATAGGCTGTTTTCTAAAGTTAGATTGAATCAAAAAATTCCATTCCGATGTCAAAAGGTAGAGAATTTTGTGTAGATTTTATTGATATGTTCTTTGCACAACTAGCATTTGTCGTTCTCTCGTAGCATTAAGAGTACTGAATACTACAACAATATCATTTGCTCAAATGCAAAATAAGACACTTTTGAACTCCAATTTTTGCCCGGTTGATTATAGCTCAAAAATTTCTTTTTGTTGCTAAGCGATGCAGAATTTTTCGGCGTATCTAGCGGTATTTTGATTTTTAAAGCTTAGTTATTTCTGCTTCAAAAAACACAAAACATCAAGAAAACACCTTCGGCGAAAGGAATCGTACTTTCTGTTACCAATTTTCTCAAAACTTGGTTTTACAAGAATTACTCTTTTTATATTAATAGATGCAGAATTTCAAGCTCTACATAATGTTCTTCATTATAAGAGCTGAATTCCTTTTTTAAACTAATGATAAGACTAACATCTTTTTTCTGACATAAAAAAGCGTTAAAAATGGACCATGAGGCATTTTTTGCAAGCAGTTTTTCGAATAACGAAATTTCATCCGCAAACTTGTTATTGGGTCTCAAAAATAGATACCTCTCTGTATCTTATAACACTGCATTTGAATAGTGTATGCAGAGCCATTTAACAAAGAAAACTAACACTTTATTCCCGTAAAATGCTAAGCAAACTATGTTTTTATGGTATCCAGTATCTTAAAGACTACGAGAGAAAGACAAATGCTAGTTGTGCAAAGAACATATCAATAAAATCTACACAAAATTCTCTATCTTTTGACGCCAGAACGAAATTTTCTGATCCAGTCTAAATTTAGAAAACAGCCTATCAAAAGTCGGCAATTTCTTCTGCGCCACCCGTTACATATTCGAAAAATTTCTTGAAATATTCATTGCCAAATGATTTTACCAGGAGGTCATTAAAAATTTGGAGTAAACAAAAATTTCTCAACATATAACGAAGATCTTTATACTGGATTAACCGTGAAAGGATTCAAACTCAAAGACCTTCCCTAGAGAATTACGACCTGAAATTTTATCTATCGATAGATTCTATGAGTCTAAGAATATTCTTAAAAATATAAGAGTTACTAATAAACAAAATTTCAAGTCGAAAATTCTTTGTCCAATTTTCTTACAATACTACACCGCCATTTGATGAAAATCTAACAAATCTATCATAACTGGATAGGGAAGATGTTTGAGCTAGAACTCTGCTAGTTAAGAAACACTACATATATATATGTTCAAAATACGAACTATAAAGCGGTGAATCTTATCGATCGGGGTTTCCTCATTAGGTTTTTTTCTTTATTTATATTTATTCTATATGTATTTAAGTTCATTTTGTGATATTCATATTGTCTACAGAAAACTATTGAGCTAATATATGTTCGCTACGTGCATTTCTCTATATAACAGTTTTTGTTGATGCCACGATCACACAGAAAGATGCCTACAATAAAAAAAAGACTTTTTTGTTTAAACACATACTCTACTGAATGTGGATTCTATATTATCTAGTTTATTTGTCTAATTCTTGAAACTTTAAAAACATTTCATGACAAACATTTAAAAGAATATTTCGAAAATATGAAATATCAAAATGATACGCTATGTATCCATTAGCAGTGTAGAATAGATGAAAAGAAAAAAGAAGGGAAAACTTGAACAAGTTCGTTTTCTCAATTAATCAAAATATATTCTTTCTTGTGTATAGTTTTTATTAAAATTTAGATTCTATATAAGTATTAAAATTGATACGTAACTTATTGCGTTGATGATAGAAGATAAATTATTGTGTTTTTTTATTATAGATCGAAAATTAGTTATTCTATTTGTTAATTGTATCATTTATTTTTGTATAATATAATAAAATTTTCTTCAAAAATGTTGTATGGCATTGTCATGGATACTATTCGAGATGGTATTCTTCGTTCATATGGAGCAATTATGTGGAAACGTATTGTAAAAGAAGTTAATTTACCATTTGAAACATTTGAATTTTATTCACGATATGATGATAATTTACTTATAAAAATTTGTGATTGTAAGTTAAATTTCTATTTAATTTGTACATTTAATTTTTATTTCAATAGGTATGATAGAAATTTTAAATGATGGTACACGTGATACATATTTAGAATTTTTTGGTACAAATTTTATTCATTATTTTTACAGATGTGGTTTTGATAAAATACTTCGAGTAGCTGGACGAACATTACGTGATTTTCTTTTTGTTATTGATGAATTACATGATTCAAATCGATATATATTTCCGCAAATGAAACATCCATTATTTCATGTTACTGAAGAAAATGAAAAAGGAGCAACACTTATTTATAAGTAAGTAATTAATTACAATGTGTTTTATACAAATTTTCTCTTTCGGGAGAGAAACGATATAAAACTGCATCTTCGAAGAAGCGTGCGTCGCCTCCTTGAGTCTCACGTTGTATAAAACACTGATTAATTGTCTTGAACTTGAGAGCAAAATTATGTTTAGAAGCATGCGTCATGGTCTTACTCATTTTGCTATTGGTGGACTCAAAGCTGTAGCTTCAGTAATATATAATCAGAACGATATTCATATAATTGTACAACATGATTTTTCGACTAATGATTGTAAGTATCATTATGAATATCGCTTATAGATTTTTGTTTTCATTGAGTTTTATTAGATTCACAAGTTTTCATTTGGGTACAGTTTGATAATAAGAATTATAAAACGAAACGATTATTTAATTTTCCATCTTTACCCGATCTAAGTGTTACAACTTTCTTTCAAGTAAATATCAAAAAAACAAAATGTCACATTATTTTACAAATTACGTATAGGTATTTCCATTTTCAATTCTTATGAATTCATCATTACGTATTCATCATATGGGTAAAAATATTATGAAAATTTTTCCTGATGATACACCTTTGATTGGACAATTATTAAACGATGTCTTTCAAATTATTCAACCTGGTATTTTTTTCGAATGGGATAAAGTATGTTATGATTATTTTTCTCTTCAAACAATAATATCATCTACATATATTTAAGATTCTTTCCTATGGTCAATATATTGTCTTTATGATGGAAAATCGACTTCCACTACGTATTGGATCATCGAGTAGAATTCGATTGAAAGGTCAAATGAAATATATACAAAACAAGAATATGTTATGGTTTCTATGTCATCCAGTGTGAGTTTCGATTCATTCATTTTCCTATCAAATATATGAAAGATAAAAAACAAAATTTGAATATTATAGTTTAGAAATTGTAGATGATATGATTTCAACTGGATTACATTTAACTGATTTAAGTTTGTTTGATAATACAAATGGTCTACTAATTACTGGTACAAGTCAACAACAACAATTGGAGGAAATTACTCTCAGAGTTAGTTTTATTGTCGTTAATTCTTTTATTTTTTCTTCAACTTATTAACATTTAATAGCAAAATGTATGGAGGAGAAAAGCATCATATATACGAAAAAAATTAAGTACAAGTCATAAGACGAATCAATCTTTACTCTATTCAACGATGCCAAAACATATTGCACGTTTACTTCAATCTGGTGTACAAGTTAATAGTATCAATGAAGTAAGTCATTTTGTATTTATTTTATTAAATATGAAATGTTTTTGAAAATTGTTTTTCTAGTGTCAACCTTTTGTTAGTATCATGTTTATAAATGTAATGGATTTAAAAACATTAACTGATCATCTTGATGCTACTCATGCTATAACATATCTTAATAATGTTGTTATTTTATTTGATGCTATTGCTGATAAATATGATGTATTCAAAGTAGAAATAAGAGCAGATGCAAGTTATATGGCAGTTGCTGGTATACATGATCAAGCATGCATTACTCGACCATCAAATGGTTCACAATTGGTAGGAATGATTTTGTTTTTGTTTTTTTTTGTTTTTATTATTATGTATATTCATAGTCATTAATGTCATCAGCAAACGGAGAAGAAGATGACAAAGAGGAAAATGATGATCAAAAGAAAAATTTATTTGAATTAAATTCAACTGAAATTATTGCAGCATTATCACTTGAACTTTTACAAGCTAGTGAAGATATTCATAATCCTATAACGAATAAACCATTTGATCTTAAATTTGGTAAGAAAATTAATATATTTTGATCATATTTCAAAAAATTTTCATCATTAAGGATTTCATTCTGGTATGGCTATAGGTGGTATTATTGGTATACGAAATTATCAATACTGTCTATTTGGTGACACTGTTAAAATAGTAAGCTTTTAAAATGCATACATATCAGATATTTGCGTGACAGTTCCACACTATCTCTTTTGTTTTTTTGGCTCTGTGAACATGTTTCGCAAGAGTAAATTCATTTCTTCAGTATTCTTCCGAAGACATCTCAAATCATGCGATGACATAGCGCGTGGAGCTTCCTTACAGATCTCTGATAGACATTCTCATGTAATATGCTTTGTTTTTTAGGCAAGTCAAATGATGACTACTGGCGAGGTAAATATGATAAGACAATACTAATGAAATATGCAGAGATGTTTAGGTTGGTCGAATACATGTGAGTCAGACAGCATATAGTCATTTAGTGAAAGATAGACGTTTTACGTTGGAATATCGAGGTCAAATGAATATTGAAGTATGTTAATAAGTATAATTTAATTTAATTTAATATAGTAGTTTTTGAAATATTTTAGGACAGTGAACCAATTGATACGTTTTGGTTGACAGGCTCAACTGCAATATTACCTACGACAAAAAATTAATAAGAATGCAATACCATTGAAATGTACATTCAATAGTTTCAATTTGACATTTGAATAAAACATATTTAATTATAAAATGATTCTTTATTTTATTGTATCAAAGAATATTTTATAAATATATAAATAAATATTTCTCTAAAATATAAGATTGAATAAAACTATCATTTAATGAATTGATTTTAGTAGAATTCTTGAGAAATATTTAGAGTGTAGATACAATTTCAACTTCTTCTAACAAGATTTAATATATGTTATTAGAGCAAGTTAATCAAATCAAGATATTTTTTTGTTCAAATAATTTATAATCAATATTGAATAAAACATGTATAAATAAATGTTTATACAGTCCAACATAACAACTTAGTCATTTTCAGTTACTGTAATTTTGAATAGATAATCGTCTATTCTTTAACTGATACTTTATGTATCCATAGTATCATATCATATGTAGGAAGCTGGAAGTTCACATTTTTGTGGAGCCAGTGTGTTGTTATTGTAGAATTTCTGTAATTTATTGATTGTTTTCTTTTGCATTCTTATGCTCGTTTATATCAAGATTTGGTATAAAATAATATTTCTTTCGTCTGTTCGTGATGGCATGTCATACATGATTTATTAGATCTATTACCAATTTTCTTACTCAGGAAAAACATATTCTAGAAAATTTTCCTTTTTTTTCCTTGCGAAGAAAATGTATTTTCAAGGTCATAGACACAAACACCAAGGAAGTCGTTCCTATATGTTAATTAACAACAGGTTTTTATCAATGGAAAATGTATTTCTTATAAAATCTATTTCAAAAGAAACATAGTATAAAAATTTTTTAATACATAGGACTAATTCGACCGGAAGAAGTTAAGGATATAAGACTTTCCTAATCATAAAAGATTTATGGTTTTTTTTTAATAAACGAAGCTGAAAATTTTTTCTGTAAACAGTTAATAAGGAAATATTTTCTTTCTCTCTCAAAAAAAACCTCGCAACAGTCTTTCAATATTGCCTGACACATCATTTCCGTACCAATATTAATGTGTAGAATTAACTTTTTTGTAAGTGAAGATAAAAACGGAAACGTACACACACAGAGGAACTATAACGTCGTGTAGACTCTTATAGGTCTAAATATACTTTATTAAAGTTTGTGTACTTGCTAAACCTATATATGTCTTGATAAATCTCGCAAATAGCTCTTATCGATGAAAGTATTATTAAGTTAACAAGAAGAGAATAGACGCATGAGTGTCAACACATTATTATTACGTGAGGAAATGTCGGTCAATCGTAAATTCCAATCGTAACCTTTTCATTGATATTAATTCAAGCATCAGTATGATAATAATAACAAAAAACAAGAACGAAATATGTAAGACTTAGAACTATTTGAAATCAATGGTATGATTAATAATCTTTTTTTTTCTGATGACATTAGGTAGGCGGACATTTCTCATTGTCTTTGTATGATTACATGTATCTTCAATTACAGATTATAATTAATTCGTATTTATATTCATTCTGAACAGTTTAATAGCTTCTCTGCGTGCTCATTGATACTAATAATTTGAGTTAGGATGGAACAAAGTCACGTAGCAAAGACACATAGTTCATATACTGATTAATGGGTAAAGCGAGAAAAGCATCTATGATTGTGATTAACAAATATCTAAGTCAATTCAAATGTTCTTTCATAGGCAAAACGGATGACCTCAATTAACTATTGTATTGTATAATCTTATGAATGTCAATATGAATTATGCAATCGGAAATGTACTCAATTTTTTATCGATTCTCTTAATTTGTCATTAAGAAATAAATATTCACCATATATCGAAGCAATCATGCTGGCATTGTAGTAGAAAAATATAACATACTCGAATTCTTCTACAAAATACGTCGACTAAATGCTCTGCTCATTACAAAATTCACTACACAATATAACGATGAGTTAGAATTGTAACCGGTCAGTGACTGAACGGTTTGTTGAATCATTATTAATCTGTTAATGAAAATGGCTTCAAAAAATATTCAGTTTTTTTTGTGTGGACTCAGGTCTTTATAAATCTTTAGGAAGAAATATCATGTTATAGTCGTTTATATTTGTTAGCTTTCTCAAAGATGAATATTTCAATATATAGTAGGAAAACAGAGTTATTCATTCATGATCGCTAAACTCCAAATCTTGAATTTTCTCACTCTATCTTTTCAGACATACCTAAATTTGATCTTTACTAAGAAATATATGATATAAGTTTAGCTCAAGTAACATAAGTTTCTTTGCACTTTTTAAAAATGATATGTACAAACGAATAGAAGAAAATAAAATTGATAGTTCTTGAAATAACACTGTTTAATTATTTTGATAAGAGCGAGCAAGCAAAACCTGCTGTCAACAAGTTTTATCAAAGAAAAACGGCACATCTATAAAATATTTTTCAATCGGTAAAAATCAACCGGATTGATTACAACTCTCCAGTGAGTCTTATGTTATTTTCAACAATGTTTACGATTTGTCATACGATGATTACTATGAATAAAAGCTACATAACTAATATTAAGTTTAAAATGCAAACTTAACACCAAATTTTAAAGAACTTCATCTTATTAAAAGTTCTATAACATGTTCATTTAAATAGCGTAATCTATTCTATTTCTGATATAAATATTATGGCTTTCAATAAAAGTCAAGGAACTAATATTTGTTCAAATCTATCGTAATCATTGATTGAATAGTGTTAGCAAAAGAGCAATCCTTTAAATTAAATTATATTGACATAAATAGAACAATTGTCTTAAAGCGTTTTGTTTGACTTTCATTTTGTTGTCAACCGTTCTATTCTTAATAATGCAATTAGATTAATAAAGATGACTTTAAAAAAAAACAAGACTGAAGAGAAATTCTTGTTCGTAGTTACTTTATCTCTAAAGTAAATGCAGCTAGCGCCCTCGTCAAAGTCTTCTCTATAATTGGGTCAACCTATCTATTTAAGAGATTGTGAATGAGTTTCTAGGTTTTTTTGTTTCTTATCAACTCTTATTTGAATTTGTAAGACTCAAAATATTACTTGAACTATCATGACAAATCTTAATGTTATTGAAGCTGTTCGTTTTTATATTATGCGAATGATTGAAGATTGTGGCCAAAATGTAAAAGGATTCGTTATGGATAAAGAAACGGTTTGTCATAATAATAAATATTTTATTAATAATTATAATATTTTATTTAAAGGCTTCAATTGTTAGTATGGTTTATGCTCAATCTGAAATTCTTCAAAAAGAAGTTTTTCTTTTCGAACGTATTGATACTATTGGACAAAAATCATTGAAACATTTAACTGCTATTTGTTTTTTAAGACCTACTAAAGAAAATCTTGAAGCATTGACACGTGAATTACATGAACCAAAATATGGAAGTTATTATATTTGTATGTTATTTTTCATATTCTTTCTTTATTTAAAAAGATTAAGAAGATAAAAAATGAAATAATTTACTTTAGATTTTAGTAATTTTATTGAATACAATTATATTAAAACTTTATCTGAAGCTGATGAATTTGCATGTGTACAAGTTATACAAGAATTTTATGCAGATTATTTAGCAATCAATCGACATTTATATTCACTTAATATTCCAATGACGTATCAAGTAAAATGAAATGAAATAGAATAAATTTGTTTTTAATATCATTTTCTTTTTTGGTATTAGAAACATTATGAATGGAATGATAATCATCTACGTCGAACAGTTCAAGGACTTATTTCATTATTATTTTCATTAAGAAAACAAAGTGCAATAATTCGTTATCAAAAATCATCAAATATGGCACGAACACTTGCTGATAAATTATCTGTAAATTAATAAATAATTCGAATTATAAAATTTTAAAAAATTATGTTTTTTTTTTGATAGACTACTTTGATGCGTCAAGCGGATTTTGCTACATCAAATATTAATGATATAAATCAAACAATTGTTTTAATTGTTGATCGACGTGAAGATGCAATAAGTCCATTACTTAATCAGGTTATTCTTCTAATATAATTATTTAAAATATATATATATATATACCTTTTTCTTTTAGTGGACATATCAAGCAATGATCCATGAATTAATTGGTATAAAAAATAATCGTGTGAATCTTAGTCAAGTACCAGGAATAAAAAAAGAACTTGAAGAAGTTATAATGAATGCTGAATATGATGAATTTTATGCAAATGTAAAGGATTTACTTTCATACATATATATATATATATATATGTAATCCTTCTCTTTTGATATTTCTAGAATCTCTATAGTAATTTTGGTGAAATAGCAACGAATATAAAAGGATTAATGGAACATTTTCAAGAAAAACATAAAAGTCAATCAAAACTTGAATCAATTACTGATATGAAGGTTTGATTAAGAAAAAAAACCAAGAATTTTCTTTTCATATATTCATTCTATATGATTCAAACAGAACAAAAACCTTCGATAGACCATTCGGTATAATGTGTACTATACAACTGATAGTTTGACATTGAAACGACGTTATGGCTATCTTCTGATTGCCGTTTAGCCCTGACACATCGATATTTATTCTCTAATTGGCAATCTAATGCCAGTAAACTGTTGGTGCTTAAGAGTACTGCAGTATACTAATAGTTATTCTCTAATTGGCAATCTACCGATGGTATTCCATCGGTTCTTAAGAGTACGGTAGTGTACTGACATTTATTTGCTGACTGACAATCAGCTGCCAGTAAACCTTCAGTTCTTAGGAGTGCTAGAATATACTGATAGTTACTTTCCGACTAGCAATCTAGTGTCGGTATACGATTGGTTCTTTAAAGTGCTGCAATATACTGAGAGTTATTTTATGACTGAAAATCAGCTGTTGGTAAACCGTCAGTGTGTATGAGTACTGCGTTATGTCGGTCATAGTGCAAAAAAATGTGCGGCATTCAATGTCAAAGATCAAAATGTTGTTTTTCGTCAATAACATGAAACAATTATATTCAGAAATCTAATTTGTCATTATTTCGTTAAATAGAAAACATCATAGAAAGTCATTTGTAAATTCCAAGTCAAAGATAGATTGACTTGATAAGAACATATAATGAAAATCATCTAATTATTTTAGGCATTTATTGAAACTTATCCACAATTTAAAAAATTATCTGGTACTGTATCTAAACATGTAACAATTGTTAGCGAATTATCACGCCTTGTTGGTCACTATCATTTACTTGAAGTTAGTGAAACTGAACAAAATCTTATTTGTCAAAGTGATCATAATGCAATTGTTCCAGTATGTATTTTTAATAGAAAATTCTATTTATTTAATTAAATTTGAAATTAAATAGAAAATAAAAAATTTAATAAAAGATGATAAAATTCAAAATGAAGATATCCTTCGACTTTTATGTTTATATGCATTACGTTATGAACGTCATGCAAATAATGAATTAGACATACTTAAAAATGAAACACAAAAATATCGACAATTTCCGGAAAAATATATTTATGTAAAATTTATGAATATATATATATATATAAAGATAAATTATTAATATATAACTTTTTTTTATTATAATTAGTTTATTCAAGCATTACTTGATTATGGTGGTCAAAAATTTCGACAAGCTGATTTATTCAAAACACAAACAACAATGGCTATAACACGACAATTTATACGAGGATTGAGAGTATGAAAAGAATTTTACAACTCTTTTATGTACATATTTATACAGATGTGTATATTTTTTAGGGTGTTGATAATGTTTATGCTCAACATGCACCATTAATAAAAGATTTACTCGAACAATTATTACGTGGTAAACTCAAGGACACATTATATCCGAGTGTCATCTCAAAAGATCAAATAATGCAAAATAATCGTCATACAACAAATCAACAGAATCAATTACAGCAACAAGGACAACAAACAAAGTAAAATATTTTATCTATCTATATGTACATATAAATTCCAATTTCCGTTGGAATCTGTTGTAGACCAAGTGAAATTATTGTTTATGTTATTGGTGGTATAACATATGAAGAATCATTTCATATTCATATGATGAATGAAAAAAATGCACGAATTTTACTTGGTGGTTCTTATGTACACAATTTTTCATCATTTATTGATGAAGTAATTACTGGAACATCATCCAATTTATTTGTTGAATCGAATGAATTACTTACAGCAAAAGGCCGTTAGCTATATTTTTATTTTGTTATATATATATATATATATATATATTAATTTTTTTTTAATGTTATGAACTCTTAATTTTATATCTATTGAAAAGAAAATATATTTATATATTTGATTATAAGTAAATCATGAAAAGAAACATAAAATTAGATCTATTGATAAGATAACATCTCATTGATTATGAACAGATAGATAGATAGATAGATGTGATGCATGAAGGATGACGAGTTTTCTTTTTTTTTCTTGTTTTTTTTTTGGTATATAGAAGAAGACGAATAGGGAATTCTAGGAAAAAAAAAGAGAGATTGTGAATTGTGCTTCGACATTTTCGCTCTTATGATTGAACGGTTATTGTCGTCGTCGTTATTGTCATCTTTTAACAAAGTAATAGAGCAGAAAATGGTTCCGATCAGTCGGCAATAGATCAAATAGTATCAAGTAAGTATTCAATGACTATTACATATGTATATTTGATGTCATTAAACCTTGGATATATTAGAACAGGTTCATGTTCAAAGAAAAGAAAAAAAAAAAAGTAAAAGTATATTTGCCTTTTCTCTGTCACTTCATGGATAAATGTATACTTTAGTTTGCTTCTATCCCTTTCCCCATTCTCAATGATATCGGCAGTTTAGAATATTGTCACTATAAGAAAGAAGGCTGTACTGTAACGATTAACATGGGCAGTAAGTAGGCGAGCGTGAAGAGCAGAGAGACGACAAAAAAAGGGTCTCATATAACGCGTGTGTGCTTAATGAGATGCTACTCTTGCGTTCTTTCTTTCTCTCTTGGTAGTTAACGGCAGACAAAAACAGAAAGGCATTTCTATTGCGATTGCCTGTTGTCGAGCATCCCAACTACAGTACGATCAGTTGAAGACGAAGATAAAGAAAATCTTTTTTTCTGCTCGTTTCTGCGTGTGTGTGTGTGTATATCGCGTCCTTCTTCCTCTTCTTCTTCTACTTCTTCTCGTTCTTTGGTTTCTACTAAGCCTCCATGTCTTCTTTAACGTCTGAAAAACAGATAAACAAGACAGAATAGTAGACCTTGTTATTACTGTTGTTGTTAATATTTCCTGGCTTGAAACAATTTTTCACTTGTTGGCATCTTTGTCCATAATCATGTGTTTCATTATTATTAACATCAATCGATAAATTTACTGGCGCTATCATGCAATTATCGGCAGTTTCACCGATAACAAAAACTTATTCACGAACAATGAAGACAACCCATTTATTAATTCGAGTGGGTATTTTAACTATGTAGATAAACATTCTCATTTATTATATATGACAAATTAACATCTGTATATTTACTGACCTTTATCTTAAAACCAGATATATATATATACATCATTTACTATTATACTAACAAAGAAAAAACAAAGAGGCTTTAAGTGTATTTTACTTTATATTTATTCAATCCATTGTCTTGAATTTAGAAAAAAAAGAATGATTACATAAATGAAAGATAATTGTACTACTAAGACGAAAAGATTAGTTATTACTTCTTTCATTTCTTTTTTTTTCTTTTAATTGAAGAAGAAATAGTGATCAATTGTAGATCTTTTTATTCACATTTTACGAAATATTTTCATTTTGATTAATTCATTTTCTTACAGGTTGTCTCGAGTGAAACATTTACACGCTTTATAAATCGTGAACCATTCATTTTATTACAACCACAATGTGTCATGCGTGCATTTCAAATATGTATTTATCTACCAACATTATATGATGATCCATGGCTTATATTCAAAGGTAATTTAATTGTGTCTATGTGTGTATATTCATTTTTGCGGTAAATTTCAAATAGAAAAAAAAACGAAATGAAATTTTACAAAAAAATTTTTTTTTTCTTTCTTTTTCTCTTTCAAAGCACCAATAAGATAAATCAAATTTCTGATTTTCAAAACTTCTAACAAAAGATACATTGTTGTATCGTACTTAGAATGTTCTTATATCTTTTTATACGCAATAATATAATAAAAAGTACATTCGCTTTCAACACGTAATGTATTTTCTTGTATTATATCAACATGTCGTAGTTGTATTACGATATAATGATAGATGGATGGATATATATAGATAATAATAACTATTATCTGCTAAAGTTGTTTTTGCTGTAATCTTTAAAATCGGATATCAATCTCACACTGCCTATTTACCATTCGTTTGCTTGTTTGTATCATTGTGGTTCTTTTTCTTCACGTAGCAATTAAAACCCGTTGTCATCTGACGCGATATATCTTCATTTATCGATCATACCGACTAAAAATAAGAATATATATATATAGATTTCTTTTTGTATATGATTTTTCGATCATGTCTCACCTCTATATACTATTTTGTCTTTATGATTTACGACTTATTAGTATTTATTAGTATTATTGATGTCCATTTATGAAGACAGACGTTCAATAAAACTTGTTGTATGTCGTCTAATATCGTTGTTGTTGTTGTTATTAATATCATTTTATTATACATACGGGAGTGATTAATAGTTTGGACTTAGACACTCAAACAAATATATACCAATGATTGGTATATATTAATATTTCTTTCTCCGAAGAAAAAAGAAAAAGAAAAAAAAAACTGACAATATAAGATATCTAGCGAACGTCATATTTTCCTTAGATAAGCTCTCATCATCATATAAAAGATTTGTAGATGATAACACGTAAGTGAGGAGTGATATTCATCAGTCTACAGTAGATATTTAATACTGATTTACGCGAGTATTTTCTATAACATAAATTATAAGAGCAGTTTGGAGTGGCAACATTTTTCATAAAATATACCAATTGATTAACACAACGTAGTTATGATTATGATTAGTACAACAAAACAGCATTGGAATCGTATAACAATACTTTTTCTTATAACATCTATTGTTCAAGTATTTATTGAATATGGTAAGATTTTATTATTGATAAAACAAAAGAGAATAGAATGTTTTCTGTATTTGTTTATTAAAAATTTTGCTTATAAATAGTTTTTTTTCTCGTCTTATGAAATAACGAAGAAAACTCAATAACATGAAAAATTTCTCTGCCAGCTTATAAATCATAGAAACCCATCTATTAATTATAATAGAAATCTGTTCTGCCTTTTATATTATTCTATACTAAAAATATGTTCGGTGTTTTTCTTTTCTCTTTAATTTATTGTAAAAAGACTGATTTAGTTCCGAAAAGCTTTCAAGGTTGTATTTATTTATGTTTCTTGAGAGTATCGACTATTTCTCATAGTAAATTTATGAAAGTATACAAATCGTACGGACGTATTTATTGTGCAATGCTGATAGAACAAACATTCTATGATGTCACATATGATTTTTTTATTACGATAAAAATGACTTTTGATTGATTGCACAGAAATCGTTTGTTGCATTTTTTTACGATGAATAAAACATCTTTAAAAAAAACAACTCCTACGCCTATTGTATGCGACATTTAAATATTCTATTTATGGTATTAAAAACAAACAGATATTTCTAGAATAACATTAAAAGCAATAAATAATCAAATAATAGTATACAGATAAGAGAATATTTATCCTTAACTTTTATCTATACAATACCACAACTGGTACATTTATGTGTAATTAGTTTTCTGTTATGCTTATCTTTTCACTTTTACCTTACGGCTATTGATTCATTTAAGAATAGTAACGGTAGTCTAGACTGTCCACATCGCAATATTCCTTTATGTTCATTCTGTAAATTTTACAAGATATCAAATAGATTATCATTTGACTTTGATGGTTGCTAGTGACATTTATTGAATTCGTTGTTTTTTTTTCTTTTTACTGCTCAATTGTTGATAAAAACAATTATACATATATCAAGTTACAATATTTTCATATTTGCTTTATTGTCCTTGCGATATTCTAAACTACCGATCGTTCTTTCGAACAATTATGAATTGTTTTTTTTTCTTAATCCTTGTATTCATCTATCCTTTAGTTATATTATAACTAAAAATATATCTATTGTGTTGACTATATATGTTGTCTTCACAGACGAATATCCGTTCTGACGTATCTATTTTTGTGTATTTACGTGTAATGAAAGAAATATATGTGCACGACATCACTATGTATTCGATGCAAACATTTATATGTACGTCATCGACAAGAAATTTATTCGATGACATAAGTAGTGTCCATAGTTGCAGAGAGAATAGAATTGCCGGACGAGCGTTTTGTACCTCGTTGTTTGTCATCGTTTATGTTGAACTTCAGTATATTAACATTGTTTTTAATAATACCATATTTTCTTTCATATATTTACTTGAAAGAAATGAATGATTATGTTGATGTATTTATGGACCTTTTTCATGTTTCTTCTGAATTTGATTTAACTGGTAAGCTTATTTATCAATGTTTTCTTTTTGTTTTTTGTTTTGTATTAAACAATAAAGAAATCTTTTCATTGAATCTATCTATGTTAATTATGAATATGTGACTTGATTTCATAAGAAAAGAAAAAACTTCATCATATATTAGCGTTTGTAATTGTAAGAATTCATTGATTATTGTTTGAATGATTTTGATAATCATTAACGTCTGTCTTTCTATTTATGTGTATATAAAAATAATCGTTTTTCCATTTCTTAAAAAAAAAAAACCCTGTTTTTATTCTTTTCGTTTATTTGTAAAAATTCTATTTCTTAGATGATATTGTGTCGCGAAAACAGAAATCTAAATATTAACTTTTGTAAGTAGCTAGCAGATGTTTTTTATTTTCATCAATGACTATAAAGAAAATATGTAATCGATATCGTTGAGAAAAGAAATAAATAAATACAGCTGAAATTTATAAATTTATATTCATTCGATTCAACAACTGTCTGTCGAATTTTTTCGTATAAAATGATGTGTTTGTACCCAATGAACTAATATTTCTTTTTGATGTTTATGGTTCTATGATTTTCAAAATAGAACACAAACAAAAACATATTATTCAGGATATATATATTATACGACGTTAAATAGATAATTTTATTCAAATGATTTTTATAATGTCGGAAAACAAGACGTCATTCATGTTTACATTAATCATTCGATTTATATCATCTGGTTTTTGGAATGAATATTGTCGCTTAATGAAGATTATTCAAGACTTCCGGACATGTAAATAAGTACGAATAGACTAATAGAATAAGAAAAATTAGAAATTTCGATTAGAAGAATTTTGAATGTTGTGTAGAAAAACAAACATATTCTTTTTTTGTCTTCATATAAATAATAATGATATTAGATAGAAAAATATTTCATTGCATGATATGATTATCTTTAAAAAACAGTCTATTTTTCTCTGATAACTATAAAGATTTCCTAGGATTGTTGAAGTGTTCTAATCAATGTTGTGCAATCGACATAGTATCGAGGGGAATAAATACATTTCTGATTTTCAATGATTTCCGATAGACTCAATCAATTTAGAATAGTTTTTTTTTGTACTCACAACGAAATCGTCCGTTTGATAGTTTTATCATGTTTATTTTTCTAATCCAATTGAGAATACATTCATATTTATAAATTCACGATTTTAATTAAACAATAATTAAAAGATTTGCATCTTTAATCTGTCTTTATATGAAACATTTATGAATCAATACAAATCTGGTGACTTTGTTTTTTCGTCTTTCAAAATTTAAGTATCAGTTTTTTTTTGTCATGATTGGATAGATTTCGTCAAGTTACCTTTATGTTTTTGTAGAAAAATTAGAAAAAACTATAAAAAAATATAGTACACCAAAAGCATAAAATCTTAATACATTCGATTTTTGCCATAGATTTAGGAAAATCAATTTGTTCGATATACTAGTAAAGCATAATACATATGAAATTTGTATTCAGACGTTTTAACAATAAGAATTTTGGTTTCGATTTAAATGAATATCATACTTAGAACAAGCAGAAAAATCTTCATCAAAAATTAAACTTAATACTTGAAATAAATTTTTCTCCAATTTCAATTCTTACAATTCCTCACAATCTCACCTATCATTCTCTTATGGCAAATTTCGTTTTAAGTACGTTTCAATGAAGATTTTTCTGCTGACTCTAAATATGATATTCATTTCATTTAGAATCGAAGTCCTGATCATCGAAATTTATTTTCTCAAAGCATCTATAATAAAAATATGCGAGCCCAGGACTATACCAGATTTACCAAGATTATGACTAGAGCTAAAAAACTTAGTCCCATACATCACTAATCCGTAATCTTTTTTTCCTAATTTTACGCGGAAGAAAAAATTCAATACTAAATGCATCGCGATAAGATGCTTTTGATGTATTGTAGTTTTTATAGATTTTTTCCATCTTATTTTCCTACGAAAACATTGTTAACAGTCATTTGATGAGATGATCAATCTAATCATGTCTAAAAAAAAAAGTTTACACCTTCTTTCGTGCATAATATTGTCATTCAACGACATAACTTATTATTATCTTTCAATCAATATTGATTATTCGAATGGATAGACGTCTTCTATATCTTTAATTGAATATGACATACGGTGTTAAAAGATATTTCTCTTTCAATCTGATACTTGCATAAACTAAAATAATACATACGTTCATTCTATATGATGCAAAAGTTTAGTAGCAAAAATCGTTAGTATATAAATTCCACTCTATTCAACCACAAAATTTTTTATATGATAAAACTAAATTGGAAATAATAATCGACATATCCATGCTCGAAAATAAAACTCACTTGATAATTGACTTCATTTTTTTCTCACACAATATTATTCAAAGAGTTTAACTTCCTCTTATAAATCATAAATATATGGGTGTGAATATGCAAAAACAAAACAAAAGAAAAAGAGAGAAATGCGAGAATTCGATTTGTTTACATAATGTTTTGACATTCAGCATCATTTTTTTTTCGTTTTATTTTATCACAATACATTGATTGAATAATTTTTAAATTGACTAATGTAACATTTCTTTTTTTTTCCACTTGTTTTGAGTGGACGCAGAAAACAATTATGTGTATAAAAGCATCATCAACAACATTCATATGTTATGACGTAAACACATCTAACAATTTGTTGTTCAATTTTATATTCATATAAAATTATTCGAAATTTAAGAAATCATTGCAATTTATTATTATCGCTATTGTAATCTAAGCTTCATTAACTTCTTTTTCTCCTTATTTAATCGCTTATATTTAAATCCGATAAGTTTATTCTATGATTTCTTACATAAGAACGAACGTGTTATCTTCTACATAGTTTGTAGAAAATATTGATTAATGTACTACGCCTTTCTTAGTATCTCAATATTATTTATCTATTCATTGTCGATGCAGAAAAGGTCGTCAATCTATTTGTTCATCATCTAGAATAAGAAGAGGAAGAACATGAGCAATACTTATTTCCATAGACTACGATAATAATAACAAAAAAACATGCTTTTCGATTATGTCTGGGTATGGTCAATTAAAGACATTGAGTATTAACGGTCATGCTTTTTTTCATATTATAAACACTGATATCCATTCAATCATTTTGAATTTATCTATAAAATTTATTCTTCTTTTTCTTTTTTTTTTCGTTTCTCTCTCGCGCGATATAGATTCGTTCAAAAGGAGAGAAAAAAGCGGGCACCCTGCTGTCTATGTATCTCTATCAAAACATATGTATGTATGCAAAAGGCAGAGAAAGAGAGAGAGACAGAAGAGAAAAAGTCGTTTCTTATTTATATATATATGTATTGAGAAATAGGAGCACAGTAAAGTAGTAATCAGATCGATTTAACGGTCATGAATTTAAGTATTAGTGATAATAAAAAATTATCGTTATGGAATTTTATTTCTTTCGAACCACTTTGTGTTATTATATCTAATATATTTATCATGCGTCCAATACGATTTTTATTAAATTATTATATTAAACCAGCAAAATTTTTAGTCATAATACTTCCAAGAAACATTTGGAACAAAGGTAATTTAAAATATATATATATATATATGTATGTGCACCAGTTGTTTAAAATTAAAAAATGATGAATGTAACATATGTCGCAAATCTTTTTTTTTTGTGTACTTAGCGAGTAGAATTATTCGAGTGTAGGTATTTAAAAAGTCCAACGGTTAAGTTCAAGTTTTATTTAAATGTATTTGTAATAAGAAAAAAAATTTATATCACATTCAAGGGTATTTCAAGATGAGAGGTGTGTGCTTGCCTCCCGCCTCCCTTCAATCTTGTTGACCTCGGAACACCCATGAACTCATCCATAGAAAGTTAATTAGATAGTCACGAATATTTTCATTGATCACTCATCGCCGCCCGCGTTTAGCTCTTTGATTTTGTTTTCTTGTGGATATGTTAAATGGATATCATGATCATTTATCAATCGATCTTTTGTGTCATCTTCAATATATGAAAAAGAAAAAGAGCAGATGTGTGAAAACAAAAAATGATTATGAGAATTATGCAATATGAGAGAAGTATAGAACGTGACAAATGTTCATATTGATTTGGAAAATTTACGTATATTGATCGATTGTGTTTGTTTGTAGTTCGTAGAAATGAAACAATATGTTGTTTAATTGGATTTGGTATTGGTGTTGGTTGTTGTATACTTTATCGTCTTATTTCAAATTTTCTTGCTCCTTCATCGTCATCAACAGCATCAATCTCAAATAATACATTATCGTCTTTGTCAAACAATATACGTGATGTGAGTTCTAATACTTATTTTGTCCGCTTCTAATGAAGTTAAAACATGTCTAGATATCTCTATGATATAAGGTTACTTATTAGTTACTTTTTTCTTTTTGTTTCGTTTCGATTCAATTAGGCGAAAATATCACAAATGGGTCAAGAACATTCATCATTATCTTCTAATGGAAATGAAATAACCGTAACTTATACTAAACGACCACGTTCATCAACAACATTAAAACGAAGAACACCAGATATAATTCATCCAACAATAGCTAATGATAAATGTCATTATCAAGAATATACAAATGACTCCGATCGTGAACCATTACTTGGTTTACCTATTGATAAACATCATATATCAATACCAAATAAAAATTTTCAAATAAATCAATTATCTGATGAAATGACATGGTCAGAAATGTCATCATCAATAGGTACATATGGTTTATTACAAGAATCTTATCATTCCAATTCTTTAACTGGTGATTCTGGTGTTGATTGTCATGAAATTTCAACAATTAAATCATCTCGTAATCAACCACATAATCATGATATAACAAATCCAATTATTAATAATGATTATGATGAAAATGAATTATTAATTAATGATTCAACAAATGGTACAAATACAATACTTTATTCTGAATCAAGAAAATATGATTCTGATACAGCACTTAGTCGTGGTGTTATACTTCATGATACACGTAAATTGAATTTAATGTTTGTTTTTTTCTTTTTAATTATTATTTTATTTTAGAAACAGTAACTGAATCTCATGTTAGATCTTTTATGTCAACAGAAAAAGGTTTAGAACGTGCATTAGAACAGACAAGTCGTTTTTATTCAGATTTAGAACATATTGCAACTGATTTAAATACATTAACAAAAAAATATTCGAAATCACAAACATCAGTATCACCATCAGTATCAAAATATTATAATCGACCTATACATAATACAATTAATGCACTTGATTGGGATTGGAATGATGTTCATTCTTCACCATTAATACAATCACCAAAAAATCGTTCTAAAAAACTATATCAACATTATTCATCGTCATCATTATCTCGTTTAAATAATAATAATAATAATAATAATAATAATAATAATAATAATAAATGTAAAGTACGAAGACGATTAAATAATATTAATAAACAAACAGATTATAATGAATCAGATCTTGAAATACGTACGTCTATTTCATATGATTGTACAAGTTCACCATTAAGACGAAGTAAGAAAAAAAAAACAAGAATTTCAATAAACAATTATTTTTATTTTATCTAAGGACCAAGTTCAGTTTATTTTGATTCAACAGATAATACAAGTGGTGATGAAAATTTTGGAGATGAAACTCTACAAATTCCATCACCATCATCGGTGCTAACTTCATCACGAACAACAGAACATTTTTCAATTTCAAAATAAGATCTATTATTGTTTTTCTTATATAGATCTTATTTTTCGTTTCTTTCCGGTGGTGATGGTACGAAGAGCCTTATTAAAAAAAAAACTGTTCTTCGGATATTTACATGTATAAACATAACATTTTAATTGGTGATACAGTGAGATCTACCCCCCTTCTCGGTGTGTCAGATTCTGTGTATGTATTCATGACATCTTTACATTCATGTGTGTGTATAATCTCTTTTCTTGTATGTGTATGCATGTCATTTTTGTTTCGTCTTGTTTGACAAATGTCTCCTGTTGTGTATTCTATTTCTCTCTCTCTCTCTCTCTCTCTCTCTCTCTCTCTTTTTTTTTGCTTATTCATATCTTTGTTTTTCTTTTTTTGTTCAAATCGCATTTGACTGCTACACTCATAGATTGATGAACAATCCCTTCTATATTGAACTACGATGGTAATAATTATTGACAGACAAAAATACAAAACCTTGAGAATAAAAGTATTTAGTTTGACTTAAATGTCTGTCTATTGTGTGCTCTTTCACTATACCTCTTTTTTTTTGTTTGTTTGTTTATTTTCCTTCTTATCTTGGCCATCGGCGTATATTACATACGATATATGCACATATACTTTGAAATAAATGCAGACAACTAGATATGCTGATAGACATCTAGGTTATAATTGAAAATTTTTCTTTTTTCTTATTATAACGAATTGTTATTTAAAAAAATCGTTATATTTTAAGTTGAAATAGCTGGAAGATATTTTTTTTAATACGTTTTTGTTTTATGAATTTATTCAAGTTGAACACGAAAGTTTTGAATTAAATGATTGCATGATTATAATAAAAAAAAATTGTAACGAATTTTATCTGAGTGTCGGATGGTTGTGATCAAGTGTGATTTTTACAATTTATTTTAACTATTGAAAAATGATATTGCTACACTTTTGATAATTAGAAAACAAGCCTTTATAAATTATGTAAGACTTTCATAAGTTGATCTATGAATATTTAATTAGGCTTCTTTCTGTTGTAAATAAAATGTCTAAAAAATTTATAACCTTATTAAGTGTTTACATTATTTAAATGTTGCAGCTTGAAAGCAAAGACCTATAATTACAATTGATGAGATCAATGAGTAAACAAAAGTTTTGTTGTTTTTTTTTTTCTTGTTATATTTCTTCTCTATTCATTATATTGGTATTGTTGCCATTCATCCTGTCGATGACAATAATAAGGAAATGAATTTGTTTCATTCTCATAATAATATAGTGGACACCTTCCTATTCGGAACTTGAACATTGTTTTTTTTTACAGGCCTCATGACTAATTTAACTTCTTTTTAATGAGCATACGTGTACTTTTTTCCTCCTTGGTTCTTCTCTTCATTATTTCTGGCAAATGCACTGAAACTATTGTTCATGGTTTATTATAATTGTATATATGAGGAAAAGCAATGAGATCATAACACTATCTTACATTAAATTAAAAAAAATTCAATAAATTAATGATAACAACAATGTTAATGATCAATCACAATTTAATTTAGTTTAAAAAAATCGAATATTTAAATGATTATCAAATAAACCACAATCTAAGTATTAAACAAAAATTCAAACATTTTGACGTCATAAAACTTGATAAATATATACTTAGATGGGTTGTGCAGCAGCATTTATTAAACTCACATATATCGAGACCAAAATAATAATACAAAACTCGATGATACAAAGAAAAATTTTGTATTCTATTGAAAAGCTTTTCGATTCATAAATATTCAAATGAAGAGGAAGCTAAACAACACAAAGAATGGTCTCAGATTATTTCAAACCAAGTAAAGAAGCTTATATTCTAAAACTTTTTAATTTCATTTCGTATTAAAATATATGACATCTCTCGTAGATGAACATCTGTTAATAGTCAATACTTTTTTGGAAGCTCCATACGGTGTTCGTTCAAGAGGAGTTTTCTTGTATCTGTATGATTAATTAAATATTAGTTGTTTCATAAGACGAGGAAAAGATCTTTGGTATCAGATCAGTTTCTGTTCAAGACATATGATTATGTTTATGTATTATAAACAGTTTTTTTTTCATTTAGCAAATATTCCAAGCTAACAAGTGTAAGAGAATTATTGCTTCATTCGATTCTTTTTTTTTTTGAAGTATTTCTGTCTATTTGTTCAAGTGATGAAATAAAGTTTATATGTATTTATAATGAGTAAGATATCATATTTTGATGCATCATATAGTTAAAAAAAATTTGATCAGATGATTTTAAAACTCTGTAAATAATACTTAAGTTTAAATAGATAGATACAAAGAAATACAATACACAGCAAATAGAAAAAAAAATCAACAATCATTTCACACTCATATGATAAATATTCAATAAGCATACTTAGCATAAAAACATAAATTAGATTGAATATCCACAAAAAAAAATGACACTCACTTATTTAATTGTAATATATTTATAAATCAACATAAATGCATCGTGAATTGATTGATTAATTGAAAAGAATTGTATTAGTATCGCATGATGAAAAACCTCTCCTATCGAATAGTTCATTGTTAAAAACAATAGAAACTCCATTGATGATGAGGTTCCTAAGTTTCTACTTAGTTCTATTTCTATATAATTCATATCTCTCTATTGTTGTTCTTTAATATACATAGAATGTTTGATTTTGTTCTGAAATCATTCAACAAAATGTACAAAATAGAATTCTTTTTTCAATCTATCAATGTAAATTTACTAATAGTCTCTCTATTACATTCGTTTGTGATTGAACATAGCTGAATGTTATACTAAGCAAACAAAACTCACAATATATTGAAAGATAACAAATAAGAATTTAATTAAGAAATGTTGAAATACAAGATGAAACATTGGTAATTTTATAATTTATACTCTATTATTAGTGTATTCAAATACAGTAACAAAAAAGAAACATATGTTCAAACATGACAAAGAAATGATCAATAACTATGACGTGGATTAATAAATTGTTTTTCTTGGAAATTTACCTTGCAACTTCTTTCTCTCGAGATTATTATTCATTAAGTATTAACAACCACGACACTAAGTCTTACTCATATTTATATTTCTTATTATTTATAACAGAAATCATATTATAGAAAAAAAAAGTATTTCTACGTCATGTAGAACAGTCTATTATTCACTAGAGTCGATACATATATTATTATTGAAAATAATATTTAAAGTGTAACAATATATTCAAAACATTCTGTTGATCAACTTACATACAGTAGCGCTCAAAATTGATCATACAGTTAACCAATCAGTTTGTCTTTTCTAACATCTCAAGATGGTTTCTACCGATTGAATTGTGGTTTTCACCAAATTGTAGTCAATTTTTTTTATAATTTATTTGCTCAAAATATCAGATGTTTTATGTCATGTATTTACTCTGTCAAATTAGAAATCTTAAAAGTCATGCCCTTCAAGTTTGCTACAAAATTAATCATACAGCCCACGCAAACACACAAGGACATAGAATGAGTAAATATTTCGTATTTTATCCCTTTGTCTGAGAAGTTGCATTTTTTACAATGAAGTGAAACCTCGTTAAAGCACATTTAAAAATGTGTTTTCTCCTTGAAAAAGATCAAATGTGAAGTACAATATTCAATCATTTTGTATGTGACGTATAATCAATTTTATAACGACATCGAAGGACATCATTTTTAGCATTTCTAATCGAGTAATAATAAATACATGGCACAGACAACTGATATTTCGAGTCGATTAATTATAAAAACGAGACTATATTTTAACGAAAATCGCATTTCAATCGTTTAGATATATGATCAATTTTAAGCACCATTATAAATTTCATACTAATTGAGACTTGCTAAAGTTAATATTTCTAATAACTATCAATAAAAAATTCAGCTAATGAACTTTTTCAAAACTTGATTAATCTTCAATTTCTATATTGTTTCAATGTTTGATATTTATTAAATGATAAAAAAGTATTTCATGACATATTATCCGATATGATAACGACCATCATAGGACTTCCTTTTTCTTTTGTTCTTGATCATAACATTCAAGGATTATGTAAAATGACAAGATTGAAATTCATTTTGTTCGTATAGACAAGAATAACCTTCTATGTCAATAGAAACAACAAGACAAGGTAAATTGAAAAGAATTTAGAAACATATCATACTAGATGAAAAAAAAATCCTTCACAAATACAACATATAATTATTTGATATAAATCAAAAGTAGACAAAGAAATTTTTTTGTAGTTTTGTCCATCAGATAGGACGTTCTGTATTTATCATTTAGAAAAAAAAAAAAACCTACAGATGTAAATCTTAAAATACAAAGAAAAATGTCACGCATAATGCTATCACAAGAGTCAATAGACAATGGAAATTTTGTCTTTTTTCCTATTACTCTCTCTTTCTCTCTGCCTCTCGATGTGCACATACATATAAGTAACCTAAAAGAACTCAACAACAATAATAAAAATGTGGCTGAGTCTTTACTTGATTGAAATATCTATTGCATATTTCGTTTAATTATACTATGCAAAAAGTTCTATTGAATAAGAATTATCAATCGTCATCATCGTTATTATTTGACTTTGGAATGAATCTTAGAAGTAATGCAGCATCAACATTTATTGAACAATGTGGACATGTTAAACTTTTTTCAAACCAATTATCTATACATGTTGGATGAAATACATGTTCACCATCGCATGGTAATTGTCGTACTTGTTCATTAGGCATAAAATCCATTAAACAAATATCACATCTAGAGAACAAAACAAAAAGAATAAATCAGATATTTGTTTCATTGAAAATGATTGGCTTTTTTTGTGTTTGATAATTACTCTGTTTGTTTTATTGTTTTTTCATCATAACTAATTAATGGTAAATGTTCAACAAGATTTCGACATTGTGCTGCTTTTATAGTATTGAGATCAGCCGATGAACGATTTAATATAACTAACTAAAATCGATTGAAATATGATTTAGGTCGAATATGATAAATACAAGAAAATAAAGAATATTTTTTTACTTTTGGTATATGTGTTTCAGATATAGTTGAAATTGGATGAGTAACAGTAGAATGTGAGTTTGACGAAGAAATTGTTGATGATGTAGAAATAGAAGAAGGAGTTATAGGAAAATCAAGAAGACCAGAATGATCTTCGGGCATACGCAAACAATTACCCATTAAAAGCAAAATAGTTATTAACTAGAATAGATAGATATTTAATGATTAAGGGAAGACTACATATATATATATATGTATTTAAATGTCGCAATGGACATCCTAAGAGATCAGCTGGCTCACGTCACTTCTCTCTCTCCCTCTCAATTTTTTTGTTTCTTTAGAGTACATATGACTCAAATTCGTTCACATAAATTTTACCCAATCTTAAAATTAATTTCATTTTTTATTTTAAATTAATTAAATTACAAAAAAACCAATGTGAATTTAAATATTATTTATTTATTCATAAAAAAGTTTTTGTTGTTTTTATTGAATCAACAGATGTCACTAAATGATTTTGATAAGAATCACTTCGTTAGAGATGCACATGAGCATTTGGCTGTCATGGCTGTCATGTCGCCGGCGTCGTCGTATGATTTCTTTTCTTTCCTCAATGAGCATCGTGTGACTGATAAATCGTGATGTATAATTTCTATCTGATTGTGTTTTTTCTTTCAGATATATTATTCCTAAAATCTTGATTTTGTGTTTTTCACGAAATTTTAAAGGCAAATAAAAAAGAAAAAAACAAAAAAGAAAAGCCAAGATTCTTTTTATTTATAATGACTAGTACTAATCGTCAAACAAGTAATAATACAAATGCTAATCGTTCAACAGCTAATGGTCAACCAGCACGAACATGTCAATTTAAAATGGTTCTATTAGGTGAATCAGCTGTTGGTAAATCATCATTAGTACTTCGATTTGTTCGAGGACAATTTCATGAATATCAAGAATCAACTATTGGTGCAGCTTTTCTTACGCAAACTGTCTCTGTCGATGATACAACAGTTAAACTTGAATTATGGGATACTGCTGGACAAGAAAGGTAGATTTTGTTTGTTTTTTTTTTGTTGTGTGTCTAGAAATATATTGATTGAATTTCAAAATATTTCATTTTTTTTTCTTTAGATATCATTCATTAGCACCAATGTATTATCGTGGTGCTCAAGCAGCTATTGTTGTTTATGATATAACAAATGCGGATACATTTAGTCGAGCTAAAGTATGGGTTAAAGAATTACAACGTCAAGCAGCTCCAAATATTGTTATTGCTTTAGCTGGTAATAAAGCAGATTTAGCAACTAAACGTCAAGTTGAAGTTGCTGATGCTCAAACATACGCAGATGAAAATGGTTTAATATTTATGGAAACATCAGCTAAAACAGCGATGAATGTTAATGATATATTTATGGCAATAGCAAAAAAATTACCTAAAAATCAAGATACATCTGCTGGACGAGGGCGTAAAGATGATAAATCAATAACAGTTGATCGACCAGGAAATCAACCACCGGCTGGAAATGATGGAGGATGTTGTGGTGGTAGCACTAAGTAAAGATATCTTTTTATTTCGTTTTTTTTTTGCTGTTCGTTTGTTTCTTACCTAAAAACAACAAAATACCATCAGACGCTCTTCACGAACAAAAATCGATTCGTCAAAAAACAAAGAAGAGATTTATCTAAAACACCTATTGGCCGTCATTTCTTTCGTTTTCTTCTTTATTCTTTTGTATATAATATATATTAATATTCTTTTTTTTTCGTTTTTTTTTGTCACAGTGATATAAGTTAGATCGGTTAAGGAAAAGAATAATCAATGGATGATTCATATACACTCAAGCAAAACATTTAATTTATCTATTTAAATGCATCATTCAATTTCATTTTTTTTTCTTTTCATTGTTCAATCTGTCTTGTCTTGTATCGCTGTAAATCTCTTTTTGTTGTCCCTCGTTCGCTTGTGTTCTTTTGCGTATTTACAAAATAACTAAACCTCTATATATACATATATCCATTGTATTCGATCGTTTTATTACTACTTGGTCTCTTTACATTGATTTCTTTCTTTTTTTCTGTCGCGTGTGATCATGGTCGCTGGTTTTCTGTTTCCAAAAAAAAACACAAAAAAAAAAAATAATAACAAGAAACAAGAAGATTTTTATCTTGTCAATCATTTATAGGTTTCATATTCTAAACTATAGAAAAACTGTATGCAATGATGTGAATCAAAAAATAAATATACATCTTTATATTATCCATTCATTTGATAAAACAAAAGAGAAATATTAATATTATCTTCAGACAAATTCAAATAGATGTTTACATGCTTAAACTTCTGTATTCATTCGTTCTTCGTTTATAACTAATTTTAAACTTCGTCTTTTTTTCTTTTCTATTTACTTATGCTTTTTTTAAAAAGTAATTCATTTTTATTATAGAATAATTGAAGATAAATGAAAATAAGCGTGAGATAAAAATAACAAAAGATAACTATACATGAGTGCATATAAGTATTATGTAACAATAGTATAGTATGTCCTGTATACTATCTCTTTTGAATTTTCGTTTTATAATTATTTATTATCATGAAGATATACATTAAATCAATAACATAACTATCATATTCTAGTCGAATCAATTATTTTTCGATATAAATCAATTGAAAATTATTTCTTTAAAAACCATATTTTACTTTTCGGTAGTATATAAATATAGAATCTATCTTTTTTGATTTGATTATGTTTGTTATTCTTATTGCAATATATATTGATAATCGATTTGTGTTCTATTTTTAAAAAAAAAATCATAAAGAGAAATCAAGTCATCTATATGCAATAACAAAAAGATAACCTTAAAAAAAAATGAGCACAACAACAATAAACATAACCAGCAAAAAAAGAAACTGAAGAAGGAGAAAAATGTTTTTTTTTTTGTTTTTATATGAAATTGATAAATTATCGAATTTATGAATTATTGGTTGATAATGTATGTGTAAGAGTTGGAAATGCAACAAAAGATTTATTCGATGTCAAATGTCCAAAATTTTCTTTTAATAAAATTTGTAAACGATGACGATTACCTATAAAGAACGAAAAAGAGAATATAATTCAATTCTATATATGTAAATATTCTATTATTTACCATCAAGTAAATCTAAATAGAATTTTAATTGAAATGAATGAGCTGGTTGAGTTTTGCCAAATAAATTAACAAACTAAAGAAATAAAATCATATTAATTAGTAGAGATGAAAAAAAGAAATATATATATCAAACCAAATTGAAATGTTTGAAAGCTTTTTCAACATCATTTGTAATAGCATAGATAGCAGCAATATTATAATATACAATGGCTTGTCCAACACGTGCATCACGTGGTAACCAACTGACTAAATCAGCTAAAGAAAAAGAATAGATATAATTAAACTTTTAATCAAAAAAAGATATATTCAAGGTTTTCATAAAAGTCTTGAGGTGGCATATTCATCTGTTTTATAAGTCATAATTTCATATTACCTCAGAATGAAGGCATAAAAATTTTAAATCCTGAGTTTCAAAATTATTTTCTTGAAACTCCGATTCACAGTATGATGTTGGTTAAAAAAATTCAATGAGCTCATTAATTATGGATGTGCAGCTTCAGTTTACTGACTATGGACTCACTAGAGAATCTCTTCAGCTATTTCCTTCCGATTTCAATGATTTTTTTTGCCTATAGATGCCATATAGTGTTCTACTAAAAACTGAGTTTCTTTTGAGATTTGACTAAACTATCGAGCTTTTTTTTTTCGGAGGCCTCAGACTTTCGGACAACTCGTATTTTAGAATTTCAACCTGAAACTTTGTGCATACGGAGAACTCAACTAGACTACCTTTTATAAAAAAAAATGCAGAAGTTTTCATTAAAGTCTCTTTGAGATACGAAGTTTTCAAAAAGAAAATGCACGTTGTATAGGCTATTTATGGAAAACGGAAAACTTTATATCTCGAAGAGATTTAGTTCATAACTTCTGAATTTTTTTATGGAAGCTAGTCTAATTGGGTTCTCTATATACTCAAAACTTCCGATCAAAATTCGAAAATACAAGTTTTCCGAAAATCTGGGACTTCTGTAAAAAAAATTGATAGTTTAGTTAAATCTTAATAGGAATCTAGTTTTTATTAGAACATGATTTAGCATCTATAGGCAAAAAAATCGTTGAAATTGAAAGTGGGTAGCTAAGGAAGTTGTAGATCAGTGTTCACTGAAGCATACCGCTACATAAAGAACACATATTTTGATAGAATTAATGTTTCGACGTTGCAGTGAACATGAATGTGCGTGTGTAGCCAGTGGTAGAGCCCATCGGGTCTAAAATTTTCAGACCCGAAGTCAACTCGACGAGTTGTAGTCGACGGCTCATTGTTTAGTATTTATATGAAGACTGCACGTTCCTATCATTAATAGATCTCATCAAATTCAGAATATGCTAAACGTTTTAGTCTTAATTCAGCTTATTTGTTGTTTTTTTTTCATTCGCCCAAGTCTCAGGAAATAAATTATTATTGTTTTCAGTTGTTAAAAATTAATTTATCCAATTGATGATTATAAGTTTTATAATTTCGATCAAATATTAATGAGTGGTTTTTTTTTTGCTTATTATTTTCCTTTACCTTTTGGAATTGGTGGTGTTATTTCTGGTGTATCAGATTTCTCTTCTATAAAACAAAAAAAAGTAAATAATAAGTATAAATTAAATATTATTTTTTTACCTTTATCTATTGTTGTAATAGGCATTTTAAATGAAAGATCATTTTCATTTTTAATCATTTCAGCATCAAGTTGATTGAGTGCTAATTCAATTTTATTCATTGCTAATAAACTTTCAGATAAATATAATCGAGCAAGATATCTATAAAGCGAAAGAAAATTGAATAAATGTAATTAAATAATTCAATAAAATATTATGTTTACTAACTTATGTCCGGACGATGCTCGAGGTTCATCTAATAAATTTGTTGCATAGTTTTTAGCCGAAACAAAATCATTCAAACATAATGATACATAAGCAGCAGCTGTTAATATTGAACATTTTAATGCAATCATATCTCCTATTCGCATTGGATTTCCTGGTGGTGCTGGATAAAGTTTTGTTTCTTCTTTTCTATAAAAAAAAAAAAACAAATTGATTTTTCTCTATATGGATAAAATCATTCGCTCGGAACGTGACTTCGCAAAATTAAAACACATGTATCTCGCGATAATGAACTTTCCCGGAGCTAATTTAATATATGTTAAGCTACTCTAGATATTCTGAAAAAATCAACACTAGAGACCTTTTTTCGGAGAAGTTATCAGTAAAAAACACTATGGTTAGCGACATGACACAAAAAAAGCATCGAGCTTCGCTTCATATATTTTAGTTTAAAAAAAACATTCTAAATTGAGAGAAAACTAAATAGTAAATTCTGTAGACAGCTGTCGAGGCTACAAAATCTCTATCGAAAGTTTTTTCTGAGCATGCTCAGATTTTTCAAAAAAAAAAGATTTACTTTTCGTTAGCGACATGACGGAGTATGAAAAAATGCTCTTATAACCGAATGAAAAGTTCAAATCCAATTCCAAACGGTACAAATTCTTCTTCAGAATCTCTATAAAACCAGATTTTGAAGAGGAGAGTTTTTGGAGTTCGATCTTGATATAGATGCAGTTTGTGTTATAGGACCAATTTTGAACTATAGGTGTTTATCCATGCGGAAGACGAAAGAGTCAACATTTTTACATATGTCTATACTTAAAGAACTTGTTCAAAAAAAAAAATCTTTATAAAGAATTAGTCAAATGAAAGATGTCTACGTCCATATCTTACTGTAAATCAGCTTCAGTTATAATTGGTAATGACGTTAAAGCATTTTTTAAACAAAATAAAGCAAATTCCATTGAACAATTTTCATTTCCATTTGTAATTGTTGATTTTTTTGATGATGTTGATGTATTACAATTTCCTAAAATTAATTTATGATGAAAACCATTACCAATTGATTGTAAAACACATTTTAACTTTTCTTCTAATTTAAATATATCTTCATTCGATGAACGATATATCATAATACAACATTCAGCTAAACGTAACCATAAACGTATATTATTTGAATAAATATGTATAACATCAATTAAACATTCAAATGCCGGTAATGGTTGATGTTTAAATAATAATTGTATACCGAGATTATATAAAATTTCATATTTACGATTAATATTATGTATAATTAATTGTTTATCATTGCTATTTAATTGTTCAATAAGTAAACGATTATTTTCTGTTAATGCACGACGCATATAAAATAATGCAAATGCTGATTTATGTAAATGAAAATGTATACATGAAAGATTATTATAAAAACAATGTGAAGAATTTGTTTGTAATGATATTAATGATGAATTTGTTTGTTGATTATTTGTAAGAATTTTTAATGCTCGTGTATGATTTTCTTTGAAATATTCAAAATTTGCACGTGCATATGTTAAACTTGTTGATGACTAAAGAAAATATAAACAAATTAAATAAAATATTTAAAAGGCAATGTTTCTTTTTTATTTACGATGTTTGTATTTTGTAGTTGTTTTAATTCTTTTTTACATGTACGTAATGATTTAAGCATAAGTAAACAACGAATTTTATACTTAAAGAAAAATATTAAATTTATAATGAAAACATATAAAAATAAACTAACCAAACTAATTTTTGATTTTAGAATTTCAAGACTATCATTAAGCATATTCGGACTATGTGAAAGACCGTTTGATGGTGAACTTGAACGTTCACTAAGTAATTTTTCAAGATGTATTACTGTTGCAAGTGCATTTTCTGGCTACAAACATGTTTATGACATTAATAAAAAAAATAAAAACAAAAAAAAAATTATATACCTGAAATGTACATAAATCAAGTTCACATAAAAGAAGACAAATTTTCCATGAAAGTGTTTCATCTAAAATTTGAATAAAAACAAAAACAAGCGTTTGTTTTTTTTTATTATTTAAATGATAATCTTTTACCAATTTGTCCAATTAATCGAAAAAGTTTTTCAACAATTAATAATGCTGAACGATATTGACGCATATGATATAGAAGAACAGACATATTATAAAATAATGTACATTGATCGGGTTCTTCCAATGTTGTTACATTGTCTAATGAACAATGAAGCTAAATATAAAGAAAAATATTAGGTCATTTTTGACTCATTCATAGAAACTATCTGTTTGGAGTAATAATGGATCGATTGGAGGTATGCGGGACCAAGTATTTTTCGTCCCGGTAAATCTAATCTAGTACCGATCTAGAAAAAACTATTCGAAAATTGATTCATGTCATATCTAAGGAAACTCTTCAATACTCGGTTTTTTTTTGTATTCATTTAGTCGACGACCAGTGCTTTTTCGGGAAGAGAATATTTCACTATTATCTTTAGTTCAATTTGAGAAAACTTGTTTCTCGTGATTTTGGTTCGAATCGGGGCTAAAATTAGCCCCGCACTTCTGTATGTCGGAATATTGTGTAGAAGCTTCAATAAGCTCAAAAAAAGAAATTAAACGTCTTTTCAATCATTCATTGACTAAGATTTATGTGTTGGAGAACCTTCTTTTATTTCCAAAAAAGTGAGTATTCTGATGTTTGTCAGATTGACATACAGTGGTTGTTAAAATTATTTAACCAATAGATTATTTTATTTTATTCTGTACATATTTCAAAAGTTCGATGAGCTAGAATGATATGATTTTTATCACATTACAATCCATAGTTTCTAGTATACTTGTGAAAAATTTCAGATCAATTCATTCATCTGTTTAGTTTTTATTGACAAGATAATCTCAGCATGTCGCTTTTTTATGCTCGCAAAATTATTCAACCACTTATTTTTCCGCAAATGAATGGGCGCATCTTCTAAGTTGACATTTTCTTTATCATATATAATTTAATAGAACAACATATGCTCGACATAAGGAGTACTTTTTGTCATAGCTGTCATTGAATATAGATTTGAAAGCTGCTTTTCTTTGACCTATACCGGAAATTGTCACAAACAGAACGACAAAAGAGAGTCTCTTCATATGAGATTTAGTCAATTTATTTCATAATAAAGCATTAACAAGAGTACTAGAAATCGCATGAGATAATCTATTTTAATTGATAGTTAATGTTGGAATATTGTGTTGATCATCTCCTATGTATACACCAATGACAGAAGATCTTTCTGTACGATCTCATTCACGCATTGAAGGAAATATTTAGAAGATTATTTCAGAAAGGTGAATTTGTAAGAAATTGGTTTCCATACAAAATTCTTGTATATGAAATCAAAATCGATTATATCAAAAGCTTATCGTAATCTCACCAATACAGTTAGTGTAGATCTCATTAAATACATAACTAATTTTTGCGCGTCATGTCTATGTAGACAGTAGACGAACTTGACAATAGCTCGATATGTTAAGTTTCATTTGATACATATTCAATCTACTGTTGGGACTAGTGATATCATTAGTTTTAATTTCATATATAAGGGTCTTGTATGAAAAAAGATTTTCCGAAAAATCCACACTTTTAAAACAAATTTTTTAATTTCCTTCAATGCGTGATGTGACCGTACAAGAGAATCTATCTGTGACTGATCTATACATCGGAGACGATCAACACGATATTCTAACATTTGACTATCAATTAAAATAGAGTATCTCATGCAATTTGTAGTGTTCTTATCAATGCTATATTATACAATAAACTGGCTAAATATCATATGAAACAGAATCCTTTATGCCGCCTTGTTACTGAAGATGTCCTCGATAAGGCAAAAAAAACCATTATTTTTTAACCCTTACTCAAAGGAAAGCTATGATAACAAGTACTCCTTATGTAGAATACATGTTGTTCTATTGAATCATGTATGATAAAGAAAATGTCAACTTAGAACAGACGCACTCACCAATTTACAAAAAAACAAAGTAGCTAGATAATTTTGAAGGGCACTATATACAATACAAACACTATGAAACTCGATCAGCCTGTTGTGATTTGACAAAAATAGGTTATGATCGATTAAAAACAATCTGTTAAGACTGTTAAAATTCTATTATCATTCCATCTAGATACGATTTTATTTTCAAAATTCTTAAAAAAAGTTTTTCGCAATTTTCGATAATCATTTCTACGAATAGTTCTACCTTAAGAATTCATGAAAATATCATTTTATGATAATATTTTTCAAATTTATACTTTGAATATGATTATAAAATAAAAATCAGAATTACTTTTTCAGCTATTTTATTAAGTTGTGTTTTAAATATATCTGTTTTTTGAAAACTTGACATAGCATATTCTGTTAATGCAATATTAAACAAAACTTTTGGATCATCTGGCCATGACTCAAGAATTTTTTGTAATGTTTTCAAACAAACTAAACGAACGAAAAAAAAATATATATTTCGGTTAATAATATATAAATTTAAAATACAAACCATCATATTGTCCTCCTTCATATTCTTGTTTAGCTTTAGCAGCTAATTCTTTATCTAATTCAGTAAATATTGAACATTGTTCACTATTATTATTATTATTATTATTATTTGTTGTTGTATTATTATCTTCACTCATATTTGTATGAAAAGAAAATGTATATAAATATATCTAAAAACTAAAAAAACACGAAAATTATTAATAATCAATGATGAGATTTCTTCTTTTTCTTTTTATTTGAACGATCATAAGATTTTGAACGTTTATGTTTTCGACTAGATTTTTCTTTATTCGTTTCAATAGACTTTAATGGTGGATTTCGAAATACATGTAAATAATTACAACGACGACCTTTCGGACATTTGCCACGTTCAGATAAACCTTTAAAAAGAAAAACAAAACAATTAGATTAAAAAAAACTGTTAGCATAATCCCTGCAGGATGAAAATGTGACAAACAATATTGCTGCTCTTGCTAATCACAGGTGGATTCCGTATAGTCTAAAACTTTCGGACTTCAGTGGACCCGGAACCCGCTTGATGGACTCTAATCATGAGGACATTATTTTATCCTATCTATTTTTTGCAACATATTTCTTCATTATTCTTTTACTTAGTTATCTAGAAATGCGATAACGAATTAGTTCATATAATGAGTGAGACATAATAAATGATGACGTCTTGTATTTCAATTTTTAATCATTTAATACATTGTATTAAAACAAAATACAATACAAGATGCAGTGTGAAAAGCTCTACAATTTAAAAAGAACAGCTTATTTTATAGTTGCACTTAATTCATTTTTTCTTTTCAGAACATTGAGATCAGAGATGTTTGGTGGCCATCTATGATTGTTAATGAATTGTACGAAATTTTCTTGATATTATGCAAGCGATTTCTAATGTGTAACAGCTTCACCAAGGTTAAAAATAATTGTAGACATAAGACTATTTTTAGAAGTACCAATCTACGCTATAATTCTTGTTGGATGCATAGCCATTTGATTTATGCTACCTTGTTCGTCTTGTAGCATGAATGTGTTCTAATGAAAAATATTCCTATTAATGAATAGAATTGTTTTTAACTGATAGGGTAAAAAAAGTGAATTGATCGTTTACCACAAACATTTTCATGTCCACAGTGTTGAAAATTAGTCGCACAGAATTTCGTCTATTTTGAAGACAAAAAATTCATATATAAAATAAGCTGTTCTTTCTAAATTACAGAGCTTTTCACGCTGCATCTTGTGGTACAAATTCTTTTAGTGATTAAAATTTGAAATGCAAAACGTGGCCATTTAATATGCTCCATGCGTCGTTATAATGAGACGTTATTGATATACGGCCTTGGTCATATATCAACAACATCTGTCAGAGTCTGTAACGATGTTTACCACAAATAGCTGCTGACCAACTTGGAATATTTACAAATTGACATTGAACCATTCGACCAGCATAATATCGTGTATTTAATGCTTTATATGCTTTCATAGCTTGATAATCTCTAAATGAAATTAATTAATTCAATAAAAACAAAACAAAAAAAAAATAATAATAATACTAATTAATGAAAAAGATTTACGTTTCATATTGTACATAAACATTTCCACGTAACTGTATTTCGGAATTTGAACATACTTTAAACATAATTACACGACCAAAACGTTCAAATTCTGGTAAAACATCATAATAAAAATCTTTAAAATTTTCATATCGTTCAGATTCTTCAAATTCTAAACCAATATCTTAATAATAAACAAAAACTTTTTAACAATCATTTATATAATTAAATGATTATTATCTACCACAATCATATTCATCATCTAAACCATATTGCATTTCAAAATTTGAATACATATTTACAGCTAATAGCGTATTAGTTATATCTGGTTTATTATGAGTACGACGACAACTATGAAAACAATGGTAAAAAAAAACAAGTAATCCTAAACGATAAAACAAACCGCTCGTTATATCGACAAACGCCAGTTTTTAAATAAAATGAACAAACAGGACGTTCGATACTTGGAGCAATCGTTACTTGAATTGGTGCAAATGGATTATGTGTTGGAGCAGTGATTTTTGATAATGATAATTCCTAAAAATGAATTTTCATTTTCAACATACGAAAATTATCTATTCAAATAGTAAATTCCATTTTGAAAATAAGAAAATAATTCTATCTCCTTAAAAGGATCCTATTCGAATTGAATTTTGACGATAAAATTTTACATAAATTTCACTACATGGGCTTTCTATTTAAATTAATTATGCTGTAAAATCTGTTATAGTTTTATTTTTTTATATAATAAATGTTTTCATATGAATAAATCTTTTCGCCAACTTGTCTTTATAGAAAAATAATATTGTAAAACGTGCTATAAATTGATTTCTCTAGATCATTGAGTACACAAGTTATTAATGTAGAATATCGTATTTCAAAACAATTTAACTGTTAATCATAAAAAGTGTAATAATAGAGTACATGTGACTTAAGCAATCAATTCGAATTGCGACACTACATTGGAATTTGGATAACGAATACATTCAGTGAGTATTCTTTTTTTCTTTTTAAATATTTAATTGATTGTCTTTCTTAATGATTTTCGACGCAAAAAAAAAGAAGAATTTTCATACAATTGTAATTCATCGACAACACTAATTATTTTCCTAGGTAGAATTAGTGAGTTGTGAAAACAGAATTAATTCATGCTAACAATTATATCTAGTTATCTAACTTACTTATCATGAAACAATTCCTATGTGATTTCGTAATGCAAATTGATTGGTTTAGTCACACGTATTCTATTATTCCATTTTTAATGATTAATATATTAATAATTGAGTTGTTTTTGAAATAGTATATTCTAGGCTAATAACTTTCGTACTCAATGAACTAGAGAGATCAAGTTATAGTCATATTGAACAAAGCATTTCACTGTAGTATATTTCTATACAAACAGTTCTGTGAAAAGATTTATTCATATGGAAATATTTATTATATAAAATGACTCAAAACTTCTAACTCAACTTTTATTTTCAACAGATTAATTAATAGATAAATATAGATAAAAAGAAATGATTCATTTTTAAATATTTTATAATAAGAATGTCGAAAGACTGTGCAGAAGTCTTTTTTTTTCAAAGGTTAGAAATACCAAACAAAAAAATGTTAATAAAATTTGAATATATTTATTTGTGTTATTTTCTTCAAAAATATTCAACAATTGACGAAGGAATGTTTCTAAGTGTCAAATCACTTTTGAGTCATGACTACGTGCATTATAACAGAATGCTGTGGTCTTCCTTTAGTAAAAACTGAGTTTCGAATGTCGACTTGAAACTTTTTACAGCGACAAGTGTTAAAGAGAATAGTTTATTGTCAAAGTTTCCAATTTTTTCGACTGCATCTATTCTGAAATACGAACATTGGAATTTGCAATTGCATATATCATAGTCGTATATTAGGAAAGAAACAATCAAAAGATCTAAAATTTTTATAATAAACTATTCTCATTAAGACGTGTCTCTTTGCAAAGTTTCAAGCTGAAATCCGAAGATCAGTTTTACTGAGGGAGTCACAGTATCCCAGTAAAGAATACAATATCTGGCTAATGATAAGCTATTAGTCCGAAACTCGTTTCAAATATTTAAAGCTCATTGGAACCTATGTGATACGCATAGTCTCGATTTGTTAGAAACTTTCTCTTCTTGAAAATAAAAAGATCACTGTCGGATAAGATCGTAAATCTGCCATCCCCTTAGATTGCACTGCCACTAGAATAGAAAGATAGAGAACAGGAAATCCTGCACACTTCTGTCTATTTATTTTGTTTTCTGTGGAATGCAAAAACAAAAATTTTCATGCCTAATATAGTCTTGTAGGATTTCTGACTACTTTTGAATGTTTCGAATAATAAATATAGTACCCGTAGTTTTTCTGTTATAAGTCCAATATGAAAACTAATAACGTAGATCGTTGCCGCTTCTTTGTACTCTATAACATAACACGTCGATGAGTATATGCAAGGCTAGATAGGTATCATATCATACCTATCTGACCTTGCATATACTCATCGATGTGTTATGTTGTCGAGTATGAAAAATGGTATTGATCAATGCTATTAATTTTTCTATTGGGCTTATAATAGCAAAATTACAGGTACTATAGTTATTATCGATAACACCCGCAACTGATGGATCCTCTCCCTAAGACTATTTAGTTCAAGAAAACTTTTTTATTGCATTCAATAAAACAAAAAATAAATAGACAGAAATGTGCAGAATTTCATGTTTTCTATCTTTCTATTCTATTGAAAGTAAGAGCTAAGAAGCTGACAGATTTACGATCTACTCCAATGGTATCTTTTATCAAACTCTTAAATAACTAACAGCAAAACTAGACAAGTTTCTTTGAAGAACTTATTTATTAATAATTAAGTTTCTCTCTTTCTTTCGATATTTTATAATCTGTATGGAAAATATGAATCAGTTTTAAGAGTTCTGAAATAGATTTTTCGTAAATTAGTTTACCTTTTGTTTTTCTTCCATTTCTTTTCTTAATTGTTCTTTCTTTTGAATTTCCATTTGTTCACGTTGTTCTCGTAATTTTCGAGCTCTTTTACTACAAATAAAAATTTTCCATAATTCTTTGTTTTTTGTTTATTTCAAAAATATTTAAAAAAATACTTTTCTTCTTCTTCTTCAATTTCTTTTTGTATTCGAATATTTTCTTTTTGAATAATCCATGCTTGATATAATGGATCATTTTGTCTGTCAATTTCTTCTAAACGAAGTTTTTCATCACGTTCTTTTGCTATTTGTTGTCGATATAATTGTCGACGTAATTTTTTAATTAAAAATCGATATATCTTATGACTTAAATATTGATAAAAAAAAAGTCAAGGAGAAAAAAACATGTCAATTTTGAATTAAAAAAAATAATTATTATTAAATTAACAAAAAATAAAAGGATATTTTTTTTCTTAATACTTGAATTTAGTTGTTGGATGTTTTTCTTTGAATTGTTCAATTAAAACTAATTTTATTTTTTCAAATGATTGATTATCTATTCGAATTTCCATTTTTTAAAAATATTATTCATTAATTTTTCTTTTTTATTATCCATAGTTTATTCTA